AGCTCCTTGGGCTTGATCAGCACAAAGCATATCTCGGCAACCCAGCCCTTTTTTATGGATTTAAGACAGTGGTCATGAGGTTAGTGGATATTTACCGTCTTAGAGTGACCGACATGTATTGTGTACGCTTTGTTTCCCGAATGCGACTCTCCCCATGTCCCAAAGACTCGTCAGCTACACCGTCATAGCTCACTTCTATGCTGGGTGAGTCTGAAGGGGAAATTGTGCGAATCCTAATCCGTCTGAAACCGCATCCCATCTAATCGCTGTTTCGAGGTGATCAGCGGCAAACTGGAGGATGCTGTAAAATTGCACCCATAATGCATTTCCAGCCTCGTGATCTACGGTTTGCCTGGCTGGCTAGCTTTCGCGCGGGAATCTGCCGCCAACCGCTACCGTGTAGAGAAATCGTTTGAACCATTTTTACTTTGCCGTACAGACCCAGATGAACGAGCTATCATACCAGCTGGCAAAAGTGCTCGTGTACTGCATAAATGTACTTGCTAACAGGAAATGGTGCATTCCAATCTTCTTTATAGAGCTGATGAGACTGTTTTTGGTGCTACCGAAACTTCTGCAGCATTTTACCATTCTTCGCCCTTACTACTTCTTGCAATGTATTGCAAGTTGAGGCACATGATCCGATTCTCGGTAGGTATTCATCAGTCTTCTGTCTAGATAGTCGCCGATCACATACTTGAGCCTGCCCCTTAGTTAATCAGAAATGGGAACCAGCCATCCCTGATAAACTGCATTAAGTGAACGTGTTCTGTCGTATAGCCGATTTACCTTTTTTCCTGCACACTTATGTGCTTGGTTTTTGAAGCTTTTGACGCGCGTGCGGGATAAATTAGATACAAAGTGACCTTTTCTACTGTTCCTTCTTGTGAACCGTAATCTATGTGTTCCCTGTTTTATTACACATGCTTGCCCTTGTTCTTTATCTTTAGATTTTGGATTTGCACAATCCCTGAAGGATACAGTAAAGATGGGAGAGGTCCGCGGTTCCCTCCTCTACATGGCTCCCGAGATTTACTGCTATGGAATATACGATAAATCCTGTGATCTCTGGTCGGTCGGTGTGATTCTCTTTGGTAAATCAGGCTCTCAGCTATCACTTTTGGTCAGGTCAACTTTTTTCTTCCATTTCTCATTTTCTGGATTTACTGAGTCTACTATGTTGTTGTGACTTCAACTGATGAGGTGTTTAGATTTGATCAGACACCTAAGGCCGTTCCAGTGGCACTTCAAAGTCTGACTTCGCTCGCACTAATTAGCTCGCCGTTTGTATAATTGACCGAATTCCATCTTAAGGTGCCGAGTCGGTTTTTGGAAAAGAAGTGAGATTGGCGATCAAAATCAACTTCTGCATTTGTGCTATGTCTACTTAAATTTGTGCCTAAAATGCCTCTCTTCAGAAGCCAGCAATGTTGAGCATTAGGAGGTCTTTAAC